CGGTCAATCTATATGTACAAGCCCCGCCTCCAAACAAGGCCAGCCAATCCGCTTGCTGCTTTCACCGGGTACCGTAATAACTAAAGCTACAGGTGGAGAGGGTGGCAAGCTCTTCAACCCCATCACTGGGAGGTGTGGGTGGAGGCTGCTTCCATTGAGCTGAGAACGTAGACCTTTCAGACCCGATTGGCCCCTGAGAGGATGCCACAGCTTCTGGAGTCCATCTCGTATCCCACTGGGAGGACCAGAAGCCTCCTGGGAGGAGGAGGACCTGCAGGACGTGGCTACCGAGTGTCTCAATACTCCTACTGGTACTAGTATACATAATGATTCATTTACACAGGAAGGTTCAAAGCGGCACTTACTGGCTCCGGGAACCACCAGCAGGTAGAGACCGTCCAAGGTGGCCACCACCGCGTCGCTGTAGAGATTCTTCCAGGGAATCTTCAGCGTCAGCTTCCCTAGAAAGGAAAGGAACAATGAACAGGAAGTGCTTAGTGAGTTCACCAGGTTGCAAATGGTTCACTATATGACATTAGTACATTATGTATAATGCTACGTTACTGCACTGTACCAAAGGATGAAATCATATGTCATATCACATATGTATGTTACATCATTTTAACAACTCACCGATCTGTCCGGCCTTCACCTTGAATGGAACATCAAGCTCACTCTGAAACAAAGACACAAATGATTATGAACACAACACTCACAACACTCTCCAGGCCAAAGAGTAGATCTCCAGATTGAGACGCTGACAGCAAACGCAGCATGAACACAACGGACAAGATGTTAATACGTTCATTCACTCAATCACTCATTCACTCACATGTTCCTTCCTCATTCACTCATTCATTCACTCACATGTTCCTTCCTCATTCACTCATTCATTCACTCACATGTTCCTTTCTCATTCACTCACTCACTCATTCACTCACATGTTCCTTCCTCATTCACTTACTCATTCATTTACTCACATATTCCTTCCTCATTCACTCATTCATTTACTCACATATTCCTTTCTCATTCACTCACTCATTCATTTACTCACATGTTCCTTCCTCATTCACTCACTCATTCATTTACTCACATGTTCCTTCCTCATTCACATGAACATGATCATAATCTAATATATATATGACCCCCACCGGTCACGTTCTTTCATTGTGCACACGTCACTTTCACTCGCCACCTTTGTCACTTCCTGTTTGCTAGTGCACTTTATTTTTTAATTTTTAAATATTTTTTAACTTTAACTTTTATCATTTTATTTTAAACTAACCCATAGCCTTATACTACTAACCCATAGCATTATATTATAACCCATAGCCTTATACTACTAACCCATAGCATTATATTTTATTTTATTCCTCATGCACTGTTGTCTCGTCGTCTATTGTCGTACTGTCTGCTGTTACGCACAAACCGGAGTCACATTCCTTGTATGTGACATATTATGGCAATAAATGTTTCATGATTCCTGATATATATATAATGTGCGTGTGTGTGTGTTCTCATAAATAAGCATGACATGTGCGTGATCAGATGATGACATCATGGGGAGGGAGGCGGGGCCTTTGACCCCACCAAAGCGTTCTCCTTCACTTTCAGATTCTCCAGAACAACATTTCCTGCAGAGACACAGAAGAGAAACAAATGTGTGTCATAACGTCTAATTATTATTATTATTATACCATATGTTAGTGTGGAAGCTGATCAACGAGGTAATAACATCCAGACACAGAGCGCCAGTCAGTCAGCAGGTTCGCTGAATCAAACCATTCATTAAAAGGTTATTAATGATGTCAAACACGGTTATAGGAGCTGTTCTGTTCTGTAATCGACTCAGTCAGCCAACCAACAATCCTATTCTACAATAATACTGATATTATTATAGTTATATAACAATATTATAATTAAGAATAATACATTTTTAGGTGGGTAATACTTTCAATAATATTTTAATTATGATTTAGTTATTAAAATAAAATATATTAAATATTTTAAAAAATTAAAATAATTATTATAACATTATCAGTAGTTATTATTATTATTATAATACATATATATATATATATATATATATATATATATATATATATATTTTATGAAATCTGTCTCTAGTGACGCGTCAATGACTCTCGTTCACAAAAGCTTTTCAGTTAGTTAGTAGTTGTATAGTACAGGTCCAACCAGTTGTACCATGTGAAGGTAGTAATTGACAGAGTATAGAAAGTACATTTACTACCAGTAGTACTTGTTGGTTTGTACTCACCGTTTTTAAACAAGGAACATGTTGTTTGTAACGGTGTGCGTGTGTGCAGCTGATAACCAGACGTTTCTTTCACTAATTAACTGAATTAACCTCGTGACAGCTTCACTGACCGCACATCAGATTAGCAGCTGCGCACCGGGACTGTTTGGCGGGTTAGGCTGATCCGGGGTCAGTGAGATCCACAGACAGCGGCCAGGTGACGTGTTTACGGGACTATACTGACATATACCCACACAGTTGTCGCTCTTCACTTTGTCAATACTGCTATGCATCATAAATATCTACAATCAATAAAACCTTTGCAATAACAAAAGAGCACTTCCGCTTCGTGTGTCGCGTTAGTTTATCGGGCGGACAGCATGAGGAGATTCTAATAAAGTTCACGTGTCATCGTAACAAAAGCTGAGATCTAAGTTGTATTAATGCCGACTACAAAAGCAAAGCCAGTGGCTAAGCATTACGTAGTCAGACCTGTTGAGGAACATGCGTATACTTGTTTAGAAAGGAGAAACCACAAATATGCGAGCTTTCTGAACGGGAGTCTGGTTCCGCGGATGTCATCGCGATAGCTACAAGCTAGCCACTTAGCTCACCTCCCCAGATCCCGATCTTGAGCTGGGACTTGTCCAGGTTCTCCACGTAGTCTCCGATGAACTTGTTGAGCAGGTCGCTCACCAGGGACTCGAAGACCATGATTGAAAGCTTCGGGTCGGACCCCGCAAAAGGGTCACCGTCGGTCTGCACCTGATTTCCGGTTCGGATGGACTGGACTGTTGTTGATGGATCGATTGGTGATGCCTGCGAGTGGACCGAAATGTGAGCGGAAGAGAGCATCGATCGGTCAGGTGACCGTGAGTCACTGTTGACAGAGGGTTTGGAACAAGTACTCACATTGTAATATACAATAACTAATACACGTCATACGCGTAGAGACTAATAATGATGCTACGGTGTATAAATACTCAGATCAGTTACCGTCATTTTCAATTAATACAACTTCAGAACACGATGGACTACCACAAATGTCTTGTTTCTTCAAAACACCAAAATTTGACCTAACTTTTAAATAAAGAATAACATATGTAAACAACCAAAAATAATAACAGTAATTAAACTAAGAATTATTTTTGTAATTATAGTTATTATTACTTAATATTATTATTATTTTTACATATTTCTTTGTTAAATTAATTGTAACAATTACTTAACATAATTTTTTTCATCAAACACATTTAATTCAAATAAAGTAAAATATTACAGAATAACTTGTTGTTAAGTGAATATGAAAGTATGTCAATATGTGACGTGCTGTTATTATCTCAGAAAACAGTTCTGCCTCTTTTATTAATGTTTCTTCTTCTTGACTTGATTACAATGTTGTATTAGATGTAATGATGAAATGAAATGAATTGAATTGAATTAATGATGATCATGATGATGAGGATCATAGGCAAACCTGATCCTGGTTAACTGGGCCTTTTATTAAACCAGTTCTGGTTTGACTGGACTGGTTCTATAGATTCTGGTTCTGTGCATTTCACAATAAAATCTTTAGTTTTGCAGCATTATGTTAATAATAAAAAAGGGCCACTGTCCTTTGTCAGCAACCCGTTGAACCGCATGGCGTTGCCATGGTGACACATCAGCAGCCTAAAACAGGAAGTGAGCGAGAGTCGTCGCTGTTGTGGACCGGGACCAACGAGTTTTTATTAAAAAGCATTTCCTGCTGATGGACGCTAATCAACGGCTGATTGGTGTAGAGTGCAGCAATGATGTCATCAGCGTGTCACAGTTCAGGGTTCTCCGAGAATCAGCTGATTGATGTTAGCGGAGCAAACGTCGAGCGGCTGATCTAATGTTCTCCAATCAAACGAAGGGATAGAAGATCATTAGTGAGCCAAAACAGGAACGTGGGTCAACGTGGCGCCGGGGTAGAGAGGGCGCGCCAGCTAAATGACCTGTAATGCAATGTAACGTGTGATGGGGATGTTTGACATTACAGCTGAAATTAGGTTTGCTGTTGGAGTTCTGGAGAGAACTTAAGAAATGGTTTCACTAGAGGTTTCTAGCGGTCTCAGGAGGTCTAGGGGTTTCTGGCGGTCTCAGGAGGTAAAGAGAGGTCTCTTGGGGTTTCTAGAGGTCTCTCTCTTCTCTCTAAGCCCTGTCTACGAAAGTCTCTGGTGGTCACTGGAGGTCTCTTGGGCTTTCTAGAGGTCTCAACAGGTCCACGGAGGTCTCTGGTGGTTACTGGATGTCTCTTGGGGTTCCTGGAGGTCTCAGGAGGTCAACGAAGGTCTCCGGTTGTCACTAGAGGGCTCTTGGGGTTTCTAGAGGTCTCCGGAGGTCACTGGAGGTCTCATGGGGTTTCTGGACGCCAGGAGCTCAAGGGGAGGTCTCTGCAGGTCTGTGCTGAAACCTAAGAAAGGACGTGGTCAAACCAAGCAGGTGTGCTGAGTCCAGTCCTGGTGCTCTCCAAGGGTTCGCCAGGCGGGTCTTCACTAGATGGGGGTGCGGCTCGGTCTCTGGAGGACTGGAGGACCAAATAAAAACCATGCTGGAACTAAAAAGTGAATCATAAACACACAAGTTAAAGAAAATGGATTTGACTAAAGAGAAGAAACAGATACATGTAAAGGAAACGTCACATGTTCTTGTGAGTTGTTCTGTTTTGGCCATGATAAGAACATTGTAATTACAATCAGATGATGTCATTCACCCCCCTCCAGAAAGTCATGTGACCTCCTCCCGCCTTTAAACCGCCTGTAGTCCCCTCCGGAGAGAGAGCGACCCGAGGAGTCACAGCGACAGGTAGGTGCCCTCTCCTCCTCCCTACTACGACTTGTGTACTTGTACTTGTCTAATATTACTTTAATTTAAAACAATGTAATGTATACTTCAACATTTGTTGTCAATAGTTACAACAACATATTTTTATAAGGACTAAACTAAACAAAAATGATCAATTGACTGTTTAAAAAGAGGATTCTTTATGACTTGTATGTGATATAAGATACATATATATATATATATATATATATATATATATATATATATATATATATATATATATATATATATATATATATATATATGTGTATATATATATATATATGTGTGTGTATATATTTATATTTATATATATATATTAGATACATCTAAAGGTGACATATAAAGAACCAAGCATGAAAATAAGAAATAAGAAGAGAGGAGCCGAGGCAGGTGGGGGTCCAGCGTGGAGGACAGGCTCTCTGTAGTCCAGGTTGGAGGACATGTTCTTTGTAGTCTATGGTGGAGGACAGGCTCTCTGTAGTCCAGAGAGTCCAGGTTGGAGGACAGGTTCTCGTAGGGTGGAGGACAGGCTCTCTATAGTCCAGTGTGGAGGACAGGCTCTCTGTAGTCCAGGGTGGAGGACAGGCTTTCTGTGGTCCAAGGTGGAGGACAGGTTCTCTGTAGTCCAGGGTGGAGGACAGGCTCTCTATAGTCCAGTTTGGAGGACAGGTTCTCTGTAGTCCAGTTTGGAGGACAGGCTCTCTATAGTCCAAGGTGGAGGACAGGTTCTCGTAGGGTGGAGGACAGGTTCTCGTAGGGTGGAGGACAGGTTCTATCTGAAGGAAGCGTTTTATGTTTCAGCCAAACAAGAAGGAGCAGCGGATGAATTCACTCAATCTGATCCACAACATAAAGATCATTTATGTCAAATCATGTCTGACGTCACTTCACACGCTGAACAACTGAACTCTAATCCAGCTTCCTTCTCTCAGAAGCCGTCCGAGGAGAAGCTGAGGATTGTGGGAGTTGCAGACGGTCTTCTTCTTCTTCTTCTTCTTCTTCTTCTTCTTCTTCTCGTCCTCCTGTGGGACGGCAGGATGTTTGGCTCTGTGCTGCTCTGCTGTCTGTCCTTCAGTCTGCGTCTCTCGTCCTCATTGGTTCATGGAAACATCCAGATGGACGACGCGCCCTACCTGTCTGACAACGGTGGGTAACAACCGGCCAATCAGAGGGCTCGCCTGCCACCTGTCACCTGACAGGCCGAAAGAATGTGTCACAACCATTAATGTGATCTTCATGTCATGTTTAAATACGTCTTTGTTCTGCTTGTTTCGACAAACAAAGTTATTTTATGAAAACCATCAGCTTCAAAAGTGTCCCGCCAAAATAAGAAGACTTGGTTGTTTATTAACTGCATCACAAATAAGGTGAAACAACAAGAAACAGAAAACAACTGTATTATGTGCATAGAGGGGGATTATGGACAGATTTGTCAAAAGGTTATTTATTCATCCAAGTATTCCTCGCTGTGGTACACCATGACACCTATATATATATATATATACACATATATATCTATACATATATACATATATATATATATATATATACATATATATATATATATACATATATATATATATACACATATATACATATATATATAGATATATATGTGATTTTAGATCTCCTTGTTTATACCGTAACACTTTGACTGACTTCACTCTGTGTGACGTCATGTCATTATTATTATTTTGATGTCTGATCATCTGTGATCTGGTTCTTTGGTGTCATCTGACTCTTTGCCCAGCAGAGAGAAGCCACGCCCCCAGCCCCGTGCACGACCCCGCCCTCTTAGCCCTGGACCCAATGGAGGATCGCTTCCTGATGGACTCAGTGTCCTACGACGAGGTGGGCGGGGCCTATTTAAAGATACTCTGCACAAAACTTGTGGCTCCAAACCTCTCCGGCATCGCGTCATGAGCGGTGCGTTCATTTGTCTCCTGTTTCTGAGCGTCCACTTCCTGTCCCCCAGGACTCCTCGGCCGCCCTGCAGCTGCAGGGTCGGGCCATGCGCTCGCCGCGGCGCTGCATCCCCCACCAGCAGTCATGTCTGGGTTACCCGCTGCCCTGCTGCGACCCCTGTGACACCTGCTACTGCCGCTTCTTCAACGCCATCTGCTACTGCCGCCGGGTCGGACACGCCTGCCCCCCCCGGCGCACCTGAGACGCACAAACGCGCCTTCGCTTACTTGTTGCATATTATTGTTGCTTTTTGTGTAGTAAACGACTGCTGAGGAAACAATATATTTGTCGTGTCAATTTAATGAGTTTTGTGTCAGACTAAACGTCAGCGTGATTAATGACTGATTAATTAATGGTGATTAATGACCACAATGAAGAGTCTTGACATGAACAAATGAGAAGAACCGATTTAGAGACTCTGTGTTTTATTGACGGTCACGTCCACAAGGTGCTCAGTTGGCAGCGATGGTCTGATCCATCCAGGCGCGGAGCTCGGTGACGCGGGCGTACACGCCGGGGATTGTGGGAGTGCATGTTCCGCTGCCCCAGGACACAATGCCGACCAGGGTCCAGGCTCCGGCCTTCTGGCAGACCAGAGGACCACCGGAGTCACCCTGAAAGAAAGGAAGCGATGAGCACCTCAACATAGGCGACGCCCTCGGGATGAACCCTGATACGTGCACGCGCATGCCCCGCCCACCATGCAGGAGGAGGCCCCGGAGGCTCCGGCGCAGATCATCAGGTTGGTGATCTTGTTGCCCCAGAAGCGGCGGCACTCATCGTTGGTGAGCAGGGGGAGGGCGGCCTGTTGCAGCAGGGCGGGGGTGTCAGCAGCTGCAACGCACAAGCAACCATCAATGTAACGTCCGTCCTGGCGAGGTCGGCGCCGCAGGTGTCTGCGCCGCACGCCGCCGCCAGAGGTTAAAGGGTTTAACGGCCGGGTTGGTCTTCTTGTGACCTCTGAATCCTCTAAAACCCCCTGGAGGTCTACATGTCAGAGGATGGTCACAGTTCACCTGGACAAATGATCCGTATTTACAGTTCGGCTCACTGTTGTTGTCTTATCGAACACGTGAACTAAGAGAATTCCACATGAGGAGCTGGTGAAACTGCCACCACTGATGTTCCTCTCGCTTCTCTCTAAGCCCCGCCCCTACCGTCCTCTGATTGGCCAGCCGGCGCAGGTGGACTCACCGTTGTGGCGGGTCAGCCCCCAGCCGCTGGTCACGCACCTCGTGCCCCCGGGGAAGTTGTCGGCGGTCTCGGCCACGCACACGGGGGAGGTACGCATGTTGATCTGGGCGGGGCTGGCCAGCTTGACCAGCAGGATGTCGTTGTTGATGGTGAAGCCGTTGTAGCCCGGGTGCTTGAACACCTGACGGGAAACGACATGGTTACGACCCCACAGGTGGACGCGAGACCGAGCGCCGGCGTCGCCCGTCACCCACCTTGCCGACGTTCATGACCTGGATTCCCTCGGCGTTGGACGAGCGGTCGTGTTCTCCGAGGATCACGCGGTGGGACGTCCTGCGGGGGGAAGTGCCGACTTGTCAAGCGGCCATTTTTGTAAGTGAAAAATGGATGAATGAATAACCGACCCTGGCGCCCAGAGGGAGGCACTGACCTCACGTTGCAATGAGCGGCGGTCACCACCCACTCCGCATTGATCAGGGAGCCGCCGCAGAAATGGAAGCCGGTGTAATCCTGAAACCACGACCAGATGCTTATCATCAACCTGTGAGTGTGTGTGTGTGCGTGTGTGTGTGCGTGTGCGTGTGTGTGCGTTTACCTGCAGGGACACCTGCCAGGGCCAGGAATGAGGCACCGCCTCCTCGCCGTTCACGATACGAGAGTAACCGGTGATGACGGGGGAGATGGCGGGAGAGCCGCAACCTGTTGACATCATTGTTCCATCATCATGACATGTCAATCACTGTGACATGTAACAATAACGACGTGACGTCAGACATGTTTCTCTTATTCATGTGCGTTAAAAGCAGTTTAGCATCAACAACATTAATTCCGTCCCGTTTGGAGCGTTTTTATTCAGTGTTTTATTCATTCAGCAACATGAACGATCACTAAAAACATTCAGCACAATGTAGTTGTGGTGCGACAGACTGAAACAATCTGCGCCTTCAGCCCTTTACCCAGCATGCTTCACTCCGCGGCTGTCACCCCAATGTCAGAGAGCTGGCCTTACCGTGGGCGGCGCCGGCGAAGGCGAGGCAGCACAGGATCCACAGGAAGGCCATGGCGAGATGATGCCGGGCCTCGTTGAGCGAGGAGCTCTTATAGGAGCAGGCAGCGAGCTGATTGGACGAGACGCGGCGGGACACCTTATCAGGGACGTGGGAGTCACAGCAGGTGGAGCAGACGGAGGGTTTTCCACCCGAGCAGAGGAACACGTGTCAATCCGCGTCCAGATAACTCTTTATTCTTACTACTGTGGAGATCACAAATGAAGAATATTACCACTAACTCATCTGCAAATGATTCGTTTTATTAGAATATAAAAAATGATCTGTGTCTCTGTGAAAGTTTAATCCAAAAGTCAGATTCAGTTTACTTTGACAATCTGTTAATAATGTGTTTAATTAACTAATCAGTTTCCACCAAATGTTGTACAATAATTTAGATTAATTCAATAATTTAAATATGAAAAATCATTGAAAAAATACATTTTTATAAAGGAATGCAATTTCAATTTATTTAATTTATAACTAATAAATAAACAAAATTATATTTCCTGAGAGGCAGAAAAAGAGAAAGAAACTGGAAAAGTCAAAATTCAATGACTTTTGGTATGTTTTTTTCATGTTTCATGTTTTGATCAGCTGCCTGTTTAAGAAACATTTATGAAACGTGAGCTTTATGAAACCTGAGGTTTAAGAAACATGATGTCAATGAAACATGAGGATTATGAGGTTTATGAGACGTGTGGTTTATGAAAGATGAGGTTTTTGAAACATGATGTATGAGACCTGAGGTTAATGAAATTAATTAGCATTATGAAATAGGAAGTTAATGAAACCAAGGTTCATGAAACATTAAGTTTTTAAAACATGAGGTATATGAAACATGAGGTTTATGAAACATGAGGTTTATGAAACACGAGGTATATGAAACATTAAGTTTTTAAAACATGAGGTATATGAAACATGAGGTATATGAAACATGAGGTATATGAAACATGAGGTTTATGAAACATGAGGTATATGAAACATGAGGTATATGAAACATGAGGTTTATGAAACATGAGGTATATGAAACACGAGGTATATGAAACACGAGGTATATGAAACATGAGGTATATGAAACACGAGGTATATGAAACACGAGGTATATGAAACATGAGGTATATGAAACATAAGGTATATGAAACATGAGGTATATGAAACATGAGGATTATAAAACATAAGGTATATGAAACACAAGGTATATGAAACATGAGGTATATGAAACATGAGGATTATGAAACATGAGGATTATGAAACATGAGGTATATGAAACATGAGGTATATGAAACATGAGGATTATAAAACATAAGGTATATGAAACACAAGGTATATGAAACATGAGGTATATGAAACATGAGGATTATGAAACATGAGGATTATGAAACATGAGGATTATGAAACATGAGGATTATGAAACATGAGGTTTATGAAACATGAGGTATATGAAACATGAGGATTATGAAACACGAGGATTATGAAACGAGGTATATGAAACACGAGGATTATGAAACGAGGTATATGAAACACGAGGATTATGAGGTATATGAAGCATGATGTATATATGAGACAGAAGCTTAATGAACGGAGGGAGAGTTGAAGGACAGCCACCTGAGACCAGCTGAGGGACATTGATCATGATTTAAGAGACGCTCTGTTCCATCCACTCGATTTGACCAAAGCAAGTGAGCAGGTGTGTAAACACACAGGAGATTGGCTGAGTGTGTGAGTTTGTCTGTGTGTGTGTGTGTGTGTGTGTTCTTGTGAGAATTTCGCCCCAACATGCTCGGCGCGCTCACAAGCCCCGCCCCTCCCTCTTCCTCCTCCTCCTCCTCCTCTCTCCTCCTCCTCCTCCTCCTCCTCCTCCTCTTCCTCCTCCTCTTTCTTCCTCCTCCTCCTCTTCCTCCTCCTCCTCCTCCTCTTCCTCCTCCTCCTCTTCCTCCTCCTCCTCCTCTTCCTCCTCCTCCTCCTCCTCCTCCTCCTCCTCCTCCTCTTCCTCCTCTTCCTCCTCCTCCTCCTCCTCTTCCTCCTCCTCCTCCTCCTCCTCCTCTTCCTCCTCCAGACGGCTGCAGATCGGACGCTCAGGTGATGACGTGTTTAGTGATAAATGAACTACGTCATCAGCGCCGCTGAAAACGTTACGTGGAAACCGCTCCAACGTTTCCTACAAAAGAAACCAAAAACCCAGCAAATGCGTGACTTCAGAGGCTGCTCCAGTTTACTGACGTGTGTCCTGTTTAAAGAAGAGCGACAAATAGAGACTTTTATTGTTCTACAAACGGACAATCAGACATTAGATAAAGTTGAATTATTGAGATGAAAGTGAAGTTTAACTACATGACAGTGAGTATATTGTGCTGTATAATTCTTATACTTCAACTTATGAGAAAAGAGTCAAACAATATGTGTGTGCTGTGTGATTATTATGCACAACATTGATCTCATTTACAGAATGTGCAGCATAATCAAGAAACGACCAGAAGGACGGGGGAAGTTGTCATTTCACACATGAACGCGAGCGCTCGCAGCCGCTTCAGGACACATTTTAGCCAAAGAGGACGATTCAAGTGGACGTGATGAGCAATGTGAAGGGATGAGATCTAAAGCCGAACCCGGACTGCTCATTGACGATAAAGCCTCTCGCATCCTCGTTGTTTAAGGACAATACCGCCTGTATTTATTCAATTTGATCATTCGAGTGAGTTTGTTAACAAAAATAAATATATAAGTTGAAAATATCCTGTGTTATATTTATTCTTTTATTTCATGAATCATTTTGGCGACAGGTGCCCTTTGGTTTTGGTTTGAGCACCTGCCCCCCAACGTGTCTGTGCCCGATTAAACCAATATCAAGAATTGAAAAGAAAAGTGCACATTTAGAATGAAAAAAGTGAAAATAACAGATCAATATTAAACTGTCCAGGTTTTTCATTATTTCTGAATTCTTTTGAATTGTTACCAACTTAACGGTTGGTGGTCTTGTTGATAAAAACACAAGATAATATATGTTTTTATGCTTCAAAACGTTAATTGGCAGCATAATTAATTATTTTGTTTACTATTTATCAGTAGTCACATTACCATTACTATGTATGGAGTTACATTATTATTACTATTTATTAGTATGTACAGTAATATTACAATTCATTAGGTACATTAACATTGCTATTCATTAGGTGGTACATTAATCTACCCCCCCCCACGAGGTGGATGCATGTGCACAGACTGTAAAGCCCCCTTAAGCAAATTTGAATTGAATGATGTTTTAGTTAATTTAGTCTGCAAGAAGTTTATTTCTGTTTCATGAACTCACAACAGAGTGTGATGCACAACGAGCTGGAACTCAAGATGGATAAATCATTCGAGGTAATTTATACAAAGATGATTGTTCATTAAGAATCACTGTTTATTTGCACGAAAAATGTGAAGAAGATTACGATGGATTCTTGCTTTTATGTTTGTTAAAAAGATGCAAAAATAATACTTTAATGTTAATCTGAAAAATTCAAATTTATCTCAGAGATTATGGTTCTCTGCTGTTTGTAATCTCTGATTCTTAAAAGGTAAATCAAAGCTTCACGTCTTAGAGCTGCATTCTGTGTGGTGACCAGCAGGGGGCTACATGTTGATTGACAGGTCTCTACTGGAGACGTATACGGCCAAATTACCAAACGAGAGGCTTCTAAAGATCCACAAACCCACGAGAGACGTCACCACGATGACTCGTATTAGACGGTGAGCGGGAGCCATTATTTATTTTGGTTATTTATTCTTAAATATACAGTCCATCAGGAAACTATTCACAGCGCTTCACCACATTTTGTTATGTTACAGCCTTATTTCAAAATTGATTAAATTCATTATTTTCCTCAACATTCTACACACAACAACCCATAATGACAAAGTGAAAACAGTTTTTTGCAATTTTTTGCAAATCTGTTAAGAATAAAGAAGGAAAACACAACATGTACATAAGTATTCACAGCCTTTGCCAGGACACTCAGCATGTAGCTCAGGTGCTTCCTGTTTCCACTGATCATCCTTCAGATGTTTCTACAACTTGATTGGAGTCCACCTGTTCTAAATTCAGTTGATAGGACATGATTGAGAAAGGCACACACCTGTCGATGTAAGCTATCACAGCTGACATATCAGAGCATAAACCAAGACATGAAGTCCAAGGAATTATCTGTAGACCTCCGAGACAGAACTGTATCGAGGCTCAGATCTGGCGAAGGCTACAGAAAGATTTCTGCAGCATTGAAAGTCCCAATGAGCACAGTGGCCTCCATCATCTGGAAAGGGAAGAAGTTTGGAACCACCAGGACTCTTCCTAGAGTCGGCCGCCCAGCCAGACTGAGCGATCGGGGGAGAAGGGCCTTAGTCAGGGAGGTGACCAGGAACCCGATGGTCACTCTGACTGGTCTGCAGTGCCTGGTGTCTGGAGGACATCACCCGGCCAATACCATCCCTACAGTGAAGCATGGTGGTGGCAGCATCATGCTGTGGGGATGTTCTTCAGCGGGAGGAACTGGGAGACTCGTCAGGATGGAGGGAAAGATGAATGCAGGTATGTTCAGGCTGTCAACAAAGTATTGAGCAAAGGCTGTGAATACGTATGTACATGTGATGTTGTCGTTCTTTATTTTTAACAGATTTGCAAAATACAGTTTTCATTATGTGTTGTTGTGTGTAGAATGTTGAGAAAAATAATGAATTTAATCCCTTTTGGAATAAGGCTGTAACATAACAAAAAGTGAAGCGCTGTGAACACTTTCCGGATCAGCTGTAGTTTGCTTCATCGTTTGGGTGATCGGATCACTGATCGGGTGATGCTGTGGGCTCCTGGAGGTTACGTAGTCAGGTGGGACCAGCATGCACCTGGCTGACATAGTTTTACCAGTGGGACAGTGGGACAGCTCTGCATAGGAAGGCAGACAACGTTTAATGTACGTGTCTTTGGTAGATTCTATGAAATAAGAAGAAAAGAGCGCCTGGACAACACGTCTTACTGCGTGAACAAACACAACCACAACAAGGTGCAGCCGTGGCCCTTTGATTCAACGATGACAAATGGCCACTACACAGGGATACAACGTTTTACACACAGACACACACCGGTTCGCCAACGACAACCCTGTAACTAAGTCACAGCTGGTCTCTTCAGCTGAAGCGTGTTGGACAGATGGAACCAGCGTGCGTTGAGCGGCCGAGTCAGACAGTTCACTTCATCCAGACACAATCAGTGATGTTCAGTGTTTTTATTCATCGTCTACACACACTATCTGAGGCAGGACTGTCGAGGTTGGGGGGCTTGAGGGGGTTTGGGCCTCTGAGCACTTAGTTGGCGGCGAGGATCTGGTCTACCCAGCCACGGAGCTCCGTAACACGGGCGTAGGCGGCGGGGGTGGAGGTGGAGCAACGGCTGCTTCCCCAGGAGACGATACCGACCAGAGTCCAGGCGTTGTCCTTCTGACAGACCAGAGGACCGCCGGAGTCGCCCTGGGAACAGAAACATCGATTAATACACAAACACATCAACGGGAACCCGAGTGAGACCGGTGAGGTGGGCGGAGCCTCACCATGCAGGAAGTGGCTCCGGCTCCTCCGCCGCAGATCATCACGTCGGAGATGTTGCTGCCCCAGTGCTGCTTGCACTGCTCGTTGGACAGAAGGGGGAGCGCCGCCTGCTGCAGCTTGTTGGGCGTCCCGGGAGCTGTGGGAGCAGTCAACACGCACAGTCAGACACCCTTTCAGAGTAAAAGCACTACGACGCTTAGTTAATCTCTTTGACCAAAAGGCTTCTTTAATCATCACTCTCATGTGTTCAGAGTCCATGGAGCCAGCCAGCGAGATGCTCTCCAGTCACGTGACATGTGCCTCACCGTTGTAGCGGGTCAGACCCCACCCGGTGGTGACGCAGTTCATGCCGGCGGGGAAGTTGTCGGTGGACTCGGCGAGACAGACGGGTGACACGTTGGTTCCGAGCTGGGCGGGCGAGGCCAGCTTGATGAGGGAGATGTCGTTGTTGATGGTGCTGGGGTTCCATCCGGGGTGGGTGAACACCTGTGAGGGGATGGGGGGGTTAGTGGGGAGGTTCTCAGTGATGACACCTGATTAGCTGACGGATGGTTCTCACCTTGGAGGGCTTCAGGCGCTGGACGTCCTCGTTGGAGCCGGACCCCTTATCGTGCTCTCCGACGATCACTACGTGGTAGGTCCTGTTAGGGAACAGCAAGTGCTGGTTTAATCACCAGATCTACTTTAATGACTCACGACTCTTTAGACCGATCCGCCGCTAAAATCTCTACACATTCGTTTTTAATAAAAACTGCATTCAATCACTGATGAATTCCTATGTCTGCGTTTGGGTTCCTGTCCTCTGCAGCAGCCAACAGGACACGGACAGGAAGGGACGCGGACTCACTTGACGTTGCAGTGAGCGGCGGTCACCACCCAGTTCTCGTTGATCAGAGATCCTCCACAGAAGTGGAAGCCGCTAGATTGCTGAGAGGAAAGACGAGCAGGTCACACGAAGACGAAGAAGAGGAATAATGATTCAAAGAGGAGGAAGCAGCAGACTCACCTGCAGGGACACCTGCCAGGGCCAAGAGTGAGGCACCGCCTCTTCGCCGTTGACGATGCGGGCGTGGCCAGTCACCTTGGGGGCGATGGCGGGGATGCCGCAGCCTGAGAAGACATTAGAGGACGTTGTGTGTGTCGACGTGAACTTCATCCATTAATGTTTGAGAACAAACTGCTTTAACTTCTGTCATCACAAGTTCTTCTTCTTCTTCTTTTGTGTTTAACGGCTAAAACCCGAATGTAAATTTAAAGTCGCCATTCTTAGACGACTCACGCCCCTAAAGGTCTGACGTCAGACCGTGACCTCACCGTAGGCGGCGCTGACGAAGGCGAGGCAGGACACGATCCAGAGGAAGGCCATGATGAAGAGGAGGATGAAGTGCTGGAGGACCAAGCTGCTCTTTTATAGCCGAAGTTGACCTGGCCTCAGCCAATCAGAGGGGCCGGGGGTCCGTCCAGCTGGTTATCAGGTCACAGGGGAAGCGGCGTTCTCACGGGGTGCAACGCCTCAAAAGCCAACTCTCTGATTGGCTGCCGGCGGCCGCAGCCCGAGAGCACCAGTCAGCACATCTTGACTTTATTCTGACCGAGACCACAGATCATAAAGACAAACACAGACGTTATGTACATTCAGTACCCAAAGTACAAGGAATAAAACAAAAGCCTTCAGTTACCTTCAGCAAAAACAAAATAACAAATCACTGACAAAACATGTCCGATAAAATAATAATGACAACACATTACATTCAGATTATTTATTGAATAAATTTAGTTAGAATGAAGATCTGTTTTTATTTCATTCACACAGCAGACTTTATCAAAGCTGCACGTACAATTACATCAAATATGTCTTATAATATTCATGTCATATCTTACCAATGTTTAATGTGTGAAGTAATATACGTACAACCTGGGTATATATATATATATATATATATATAATATATATATATAAACATTTATCAGTGAAAAATACATACAGACCCACTGATGTACAAATGTTCTGAGAGCTGAGTGTGTTATCAGTGTTCCAACATTAACAGACACACATGGACACAGCTGTATTACATATGTATACTTATACATACATACATGTGATTTATATACAGTATACAGATATTTATATGGTGCTATTTCACCAAGGAAATGCAACTAACAAGTAGTTTACTTTGAATAAATACCTTTATTTTGAAAACACTGTCTTTGTGTATTAAGCTGGAATGGATGCGAGTAGCCAGACATATTTAAGACATCAGACAAACCGCTGAATTACTCTTCATCGCCGAGAGTTGTAACGACAAAGACTAAAGTTTCTGTTTCTGAAGAAAACTCCACAGTATTTCTATTGGCTCCACTCTCACTTTCAACATGGCAGCAGCTGTGCCAGTTGCTAGAAGCTAATGACGCTAATTTGTTAATCTTTAACAGGCCAATGGACCCAGTTCAGGAAACCTTTACACAACTCTGAAGTCTTCTGGGAATCTCTGCAGCTGACAAGTTCCCCAACAACTGGATCCAGTTCTTCAAAGGGAACTCAAAGCTTCATGTGTTGAAGCTGCATTCTCTGTGGTGACCAGCAGGGGGCGACTCCTCTGCTCCCATAGACGTCTATGAGGAAATGACTCTACTTCTGTGTAGTGACCAGCAGGGGGCGACTCCTCTGCTCCCATAGACGTCTATGAGGAAATGACTCTACTTCTCTGTAGTGACCAGCAGGGGGCGACTCCTCTGCTCCCATAGACGTCTATGAGGAAATGACTCTACTTCTGTGTAGTGACCAGCAGGGGGGCGACTCCTCTGCTCCCATAGACGTCTATGAGGAAATGACTCTACTTCTCTGTAGTGACCAGCAGGGGGCGACTCCTCTGCTCCCATAGACGTCTATGAGGAAATGACTCTACTTCTCTGTAGTGACCAGCAGGGGGCGACTCCTCTGCTCCCATAGACGTCTATGAGGAAATTACTCTACTTCTCTGTAGTGACCAGCAGGGGGCGACTCCTCTGCTCCCATAGACGTCTATGAGGAAATGACTCTACTTCTCTGGAGTGACCAGCAGGGGGCGACTCCTCTGCTCCCATAGACGTCTATGAGGAAATGACTCTACTTCTCTGTAGTGACCAGCAGGGGGCGACTCCTCTGCTCCCATAGACGTCTATGAGGAAATGACTCTACTTCTCTGTAGTGACCAGCAGGGGGCGACTCCTCTGCTCCCATAGACGTCTATGAGGAAATGACTCTACTTCTCTGTAGTGACCAGCAGGGGGCGACTCCTCTGCTCCCATAGACGTCTATGAGGAAATGACTCTACTTCTCTCTTGATTTATTCCCTCAGTAAACATTGTAAACATGAGTTTATGTCTCAGTCTCTAGTTTCAAGTCTTCTTCAACACAACATGATGTTCATTTAGTGACTTATGGTCCATTCAAACAGTCAAACAGACCATAAAGCAGAGGACGCTTTAGGGCGGATCCTAACGCTGATTGACAGGTCTCTACCAGAGATGGGTTTTCTGTTTATTCGTCTACCAACCTTACCACTTGGTTCAAACTCAGCTGTGAAATGGAAACATGAAAATGTTCCCAAACGTTGTGACTCTTGAGTTTGTTTCCAGCTGCTCATTAGAGCTTCCCATTAGTTTAATTTCTTTGCCACTAATTGCATTAATTCAGAAGTTTCCTTTGTTTCAGGAAGTTTACAAATTATCGTGACATAAGAAATCCACCAACAATCAACGAGTGGTCAACAAATGGTCTCTGTGGGGCTGACGCCCAACGTTACGTAACCGGAAGAAAAGAACCAACTCAATTAGCAGGGAAATAGCATTTGCTCACAATAACTTTACTGAAAGTCCAAAAAGGAAAGCTGACAAATTCAATAAAACTGAATCGGACGTCTAAATCCCTTTCTCCGACTGGGAGGACGGCTGTTAGAAGTCCAGTCTGTTCCTTTCTCCTCACTCGGACCAACAGGAGCCTCTGATGCTGGATGGACCAATCAGACGCATCACTGTGACAAGGACGGGGGGACGGGGGGACGGGGAAGACGTACAAGAATCTACATTTATATGATATCCTACTTTGTGTTTGTAAAATGTTGCACGTTCTAAAATCCTGTTCCGTTTTGGTACATTCAACATTATCACATGAAAAAAAGCACGACAAAATTATATTATATTATATATATAACCATAGAGAGAAATAGAGAGAAATTCATGAAATAACTTTTCCAAGAATAATGCTTGGCAGTTACACAAAGTTGTTAAATAATATAAATGTAAACGTTAAATGTAAATATAAATGTTAAATGTACATGTAAATGATCAATGTTATATATAAATGTTAAATATAAGTGTTAAATGCAGAGATCAAAGTCAGGTCCCCTTGGTTTAAATACTCCTTGAGACATTTCCACTTGCCTTTAATTATTCTTTATTTTGTTCATTAGTGACACCATCAAATGGTCTTAATACACACCTCTTTCACCCTGTCACGTTCACCCTGTCACGTTCACCCTGTCACGTTCACTCTGTCATGCACACGCTCCTCGCTCACGTTCCACGGTCAAACACCAACACCTGTGCCAGGTAATCCACCGGATTATATTGACTTTGCGGCCTAATTGAAACATAACCTCCCATAGGGGGTGGAGCTAACAACCAAACAATAACAAAAATGGCTCTTACAGTAAATATAAATATCAAATGCTAAATGTAAATGTTCAATATGATTATGCTAAATGAGCTAAATGACATTCTACAAACGGCGCCCCATATAATTACAGAGTTAACTTGCACTAATATTATATGTGACAATACCACATGCAGTCATAAATATGATATCATAAATCATAAGAGAGCCACATGTAAACAACTGCAGTAACTAAGGTAACTACTGCTTAATGTACTACTAAGGTAACTACTGCTTAATGTACTACTAAGGTAACTACTGCTTAATGTACTACTAAGGTAACTACTGCTTAATGTACTACTAAGGTAACTACTGCTTACTGTACTGACTGAGGTAACTGACTTTGTAACTACTGACCCTTCTAACTATTGTAACTACTAGTTAATTACTATGTCTCATTTAATATAAAACACTGGTTTAAGTCCATTGATTCATATTTTTCATGATCCGGTTCCATGTTTAATTGACAGTCAATTGGCAAACAACGTTTTATTCTGAAATTCCTGGACAGGAAACAGTGCGTCCTGCTTCCGCCAGCTTGCCGTGTCTCCAGCAGCTCGTCGGATCAACGGACTCGTCAACGGACGTGTCTGATCCGGATCATGGCCCGGGTCTCTGACTCAGTCAGTCACGGTCCACTCCGGCTCCCTGTGCTGTGATCCTCCGGCTCCTCCCGCGGACCTCCGCCATGCTGCAGCCGGGAAACCGCTCCTCCGGCTGGGCTCCACTCCTGGAGTCCAATCGGTCCGAGGCGGACGGCGACGGTTCCGGACCGGAGGCGGTGATCGTGCCCGTGGTGTTCGGGTTGATCTTCGTCGTGGGGGTGGTGGGGAACTCGCTGGTTATGGTGGTGATCGGGAAGGCCAAGTACAGCCTCGGCGGGGGAGGCGCAGGGCGGGGGAGGCGCACCAGCAGCCCGACCAACATCTTCATCCTGAACCTGAG